ATAATACTTGTGGAGGCAACATAATGTACACCAATTTTGAATAGCGCACACACAAGCTAATAGGAGTGCATTAACAGAGCTGCCATTGAGATGAAGTTAATTAGTTTCATCAGAGTTGGAACCTGCCCAAATCTTTTGCAACCGCTATCTTGACATCTGCATACTAAAAACCCTCTTCAGAAGCAGCCTCTGTGCAAGCAAACTAAACTCTGAATTCACTATTCACCATTACTGAAATGATCAGAAGTGATTATTTGATGGTTCTAAAATGTCAACTAGACTGAAAAAGCCTTTATATTGTTTTTAGTCTAATATTCTGGTGGCCGTACCTAGCATCGCCTCAGTCTAAGAGCCCTGGGCTGTTCTTCAGCATATAATGTGTAAGTTTGTGTGTGTGTGTGTGTGTGTGTGTGTGTGTGTGTGTGAGAGAGAGAGAGAGAGAGAGTACCTGGACATTGAAGTGCTTTTGCATAATCAGAACATTATCCCAACATCATCCACTTTGATTGTCTTCAATTTTGGTGTGCTGTGGACACTGGAAGGAGTGGCAGAAGTAAAAGTCTTCATTTCAGAGCAATCTTTCAGAATTACTCATCCAAGGATGGCCATTCAAAAAGTAGAGCCCCCGGTGCAGAAACTACTGAGATTTGAAAGTTGTTCAAGATTTATTGAACTTGTCAACTATAGCTTCTTGTTCTTCTTTCTCTAGGCATTTCTTTACAACAATGTCCTCCAACTTCTCCCAGTCATATCAAACCAAAGCTGCTATTGAGATGTTAGCATCCTCAAGAAACAAAAGACAAAGCAATAAGCAGGACTCGGAGGTTGTTGACAAAAGACAAAGCAATAAGCAACAACTTAAGACTTCCATACTCTTCTCGATCAACACCTTCGAAGGTTGTTGACTATGAAGCACCGACACTTCAAAACAAGTGCCGTATCCGTGTCGGACACACGGACACGGAGGGGACATGTATGGCACACGCCACATGACATGTCCCCTTATTTAATTAATTTATTTTCAAGGGACACACTAGGAACATGCCAACTTGTCTTTTCCCCAATTTTCTTTAGTGCTTTTGATCAATGTTTGATGTTGAATGTTTATTAATTTTTTTCTTAAACTTAAATACTTAATAAATCATCCATAAACTATAAATGTTAATTTAAAAGTGCTTTTTTTTTAAATATTGAATTAGAGTTAGTTTTTGTTAATATTAATTGTTTGTGGATGTAATATTAAACTAGATAGTACATAAAAATAAATGAAAACATATTTTATTGGCATGTTCCCGCCATGTTCGTGTCCCCATTTTTTTGAAACGCCATGTCCCGTGTCTGCATCCATATCCATGTCTGTGCTTCTTAGGTTGTTGGCAATGATTTTCTAAGTTCATAAGCTGCCTCTTTTCATTTTTTGTGAAAATCGTTGTCTCTCATTGCCCTTCCAACTATGACAAATGGTAAGGCCAAACCTTGACATTCACTGTGAAACAAATGTGGGGGAGTCAACAACATCACCAGCATTCCTTCTAAACAAGTCCCAAGATCCTTTTTCAGACAAAACTTGAAGATGCATGATCTTTGTTGTTTGCCATGCTTTTCCACATAAATTTTTTTTTGGGGGGATTAAGTACAAGTTTTTTTTGTTTCTCTCAATAATTTGACATGTGCATCTAGGACCTCATGAAACAACTATCTTATGATCTGATAAAGCATCACATCCAGCAACCCTTACTTGGGAAGGAATGGCTATTAAGAATTTCAAAACTTAACAGTCAAAAATACTTGACTAAATGAACAACCATCCATTGAAGATATAACTTCTGTTCCCGCAAACTGAATTCTATGGAATTCTTGAAAATTTTATATCTTTAGTCCACTTCAAATGAAATGTGGGGCTAAGTCGTACAAAGTGAAATCAGTGGCATATCCAAAGTGTAGTGGATGAATAGAATTACAAAAGAAAGAAATAAAAAATTTAAATATATAAATAAATAAAGAGTTATAAATTCAGTGACCTCCTTATTGATATAAGTAAAAATGTAGTAGTAATTACGGTGTATAATAGGCTTTCGTGATGAATATTGTTGGGTATATCTGCACTTATGAGGCATTGGACAGCAGCAGATTGGTATCAAATAATCTTAAAAAAGGTACAACAACGAGAAGGTGTATAATCATAACATAAATAAACCCTACTACAACGTAATCATGGCTTAAGAGCAAAATTACAAAAGCTTCAATAAATTATGTTAAATGCGGTGCCTCATTGACAAACACTTCTTTCATACATCTCTCATCAGAAAACCATTGTCATTACCTTACAACAAGCATATAAAAGTAGGGCAAAACTCACAGGAAAAGACTCTCATTCAGTCTCTTGGCTTCAAGATCATGTATTCACTCCAAACACAAAACCATTGCTGTATGAGGGAAGATTGCTAGAAGGTCCATTATTCCTCACTGGTGAGCGGAACGGATTCGGTGTCACAGGTTTGAGTAATATGCAGTCCAGCACTCCGAAGAACTTGTTTAGCATTTGCACATGAAAGTTCGGACAGATCAGTGAAGAAAGCAGGAACACCCATGGACTTGATTAAGTTGAGGGCTCCACCCCAACTTGCATATTTCTCTAATCCACAGTTGAGTGCAAAACTACATGAGGTGAGGATAGGTAAGTGGCTTCCTCCTGATAAAGTCCCCTCACAAGATTCACCCTTACTCTGCTACTTATCCCTGAAGTTGTCCCTGACAAATTCATTGGAACTCCAGGGCCCACCATTACTATCTGTATATTGCTCATCCCATTAAGAAGATGACCAATCTCAGCAAATGCTGGCATCCAATCCAACTCCCCTTCAGGCCAAGGGACCTGAATCGGCTTTATTAGCGGTAGGAAAGCCACGATTTTTCTCTCCTTGTTTGCTGCTTTTCCAGTTGACAGGTTTGCCATGGATCTTCCAACACGTTTCGCGTGTATGGCGAGGCTTGTTGCAAAAATCACACCAGACCCGTGGCTTAATCATCAAACCTGCGCTGGTAATTTGCAGCCTTGTTGGCCGCAGCATCGCTAATTAAAGCAGAAATTTCAATTGATTCACCATTACCTTTTTTCTTAAGCATGACGCTCCTTCGGTTCTCTTCCCTTCTGACTTCGGCAAATACTTCGCCAATGGATGGGAGAGGAGGTCTGCCAATAATTCTTCCTCGCACTTCATCGAACTCAATGTTGAGGCCGGCAAGAAACTTGTAAATACGGCTGTCTTCCACAGTTTTCTTGTGGTGGTTGTAGTCGTCAACCGATTTCCATTCGTATGTGTTGAAGATGTTAAGATCCTGCCACAACCTTTTCAACGAATTGAAATATTTGGTGATGGAATCATCTCCTTGACGAATCTCTCCCAACTTCAAAGTTAATTCGAAAACTTGAGATTGATTTCCTAGGTCAGAATACATCTGACTAACATTATCCCACAATTCTTGTGCAGTAGTATAGCACATGTAATTAGAGCTTATATCCTCCTCTATGGAATTGACCAACCATGTCATAACCATGGAGTTTTCAATGTCCCAACTGTCGAACAGCGGATCATTAACAGCAGGAGCCTTCTTGTCACCAGTGATGTAACCGATCTTTCCTTGCCCACGGATATACATCCGGACAGATTGTGACCAGCGGAGAAAATTATCACCATTTAGGCGGATGGTGGTGATTTGGACAAAATGAGAGTTGGACGTTTTCACCGGAATGGCAGCGGCAGGGGTTGAAGTGGTTTCGGACGTGACTTCCGACATGGCTATGACGGTTTTAGTGCTGCTGTGTTTTTTGTTGCTCTGATACCAACTTAGAAAATATGAGGAAGAAGAACTCCGAAAATATGAGGAAGAAGGAATATATTTCTGTTATATTCAAAACTTCTTATCTTACAAGACCAAATGACACTCCTTATATAGGAGATATTACAAACATCGTTATAACCCATTATATGCCACTTACATATTATATATTACCACTATCTACCACTATCATATTATATACATGCCACTATCTGCCACCAACACCACTATCATATTCTATACATGTCACTATCTTATTATATACATTAACACAAATTTCCAGCATATAATTTAAGAACATTAATTAATAAATTTATGAGAAACCAACTTTGTTCCACTGTGTATGTATAATTAATAATTCTATCACTTCATAAATAATATTTTTGAGAAAATACGTTTATAATATTTGTTAGAATTTACCATCACCTACCACCACTACCACCTCACCTACTCCACTAAACCTAACCCACTACACCACTACCACCTCACCTACTCCACTAAACCTAACCCACTACACCACTATCACCATCCACTATACCTACATCTATATAAGGAACCATTTGTAATAGACAGAAAATAACATCAATATATCAATCAATAATACAATTTCTCTATTTCTCACCTCACCTACTCCACTAAACCTAACCCACTACACCACTATCACCATCCACTACACCTACATCTATATAAGGAACCATTTGTAATAGACAGAAAATAACATCAATATATCAATCAATAATACAATTTCTCTATTTCTCTTTATACATTAAATTTCTACACTAACCCACTACAACACTACCACCTCACCTACTCCACTAAACCTAACCCACTACAACACTACCACCTCACCTACTCCACTAAACCTAACGTAGGGCAAAACTCACAGGAAAAGACTCTCATTCAGTCTCTTGGCTTCAAGATCATGTATTCACTCCAAACACAAAACCATTGCTGTATGAGGGAAGATTGCTAGAAGGTCCATTATTCCTCACTGGTGAGCGGAACGGATTCGGTGTCACAGGTTTGAGTAATATGCAGTCCAGCACTCCGAAGAACTTGTTTAGCATTTACACATGAAATTTCAGACTGATCAGCGAAGGAAGCAGGAACACCCATGGACTTGATTAAGTTGAGGGCTCCACCCCAACTTGCATATTTCTCTAATCCACAGTTGAGTGCAAAACTACATGAGGTGATGATAGGTAAGTGGCTTCCTCCTGATAAAGTCCCCTCACAAGATTCACCCTTACTCTGCTACTTATCCCTGAAGTTGTCCCTGACAAATTCATTGGAACTCCAGGGCCCACCATTACCATCTGTATATTGCTCATCCCATTAAGAAGATGACCAATCTCAGCAAATGCTGGCATCCAATCCAACTCCCCTTCAGGCCCATGGTAGTGAAGAATCACCTCTTTGCCTTTGAGAAAAAGGTTCTTTGAACTGATATTGAGTGCTGTTAATATGTAATAGATTGTCAAGGGGTGGGAGAGAATGTCTGCAACAGGGCTTGACATTGGCAGCGATCGACGGTTATAGTACTCTGTCCAACCAGAGAGAAGGATCGGACTCGACATCCCATCCCCTAAATGATTATGAAAAGGTGAATCACGAGGGTACTCATCATCATCCAGCCCACCCGATGAATCCCAAAGTCCACCATTAACAGGAAGTTGACCGTAAGGGATGTGGGACTGGCAACTGCACTTTCTCATCCACATCCCCTTGTGGTGGATATCCAATGATTCAAGCCATTTACATGGCTGAAAAGCTGAACAAGGGAAGACAAAGAATTTCATTGCCAACTCTTCTTCTCGTTCCATCGTTGCCTTGCAAAGGCCACACATGCCTTTATGTGTTTCCTTCCAGTGCTGCTTCTGGCAAAGAGCACTGCAATAAACCACCGCACGACACCAGTTGCAACACACAGATTGTTGGGGCATTTCCCTAAATAAGCCAAAATAAGAAGGGAATTCCCAAACTAAGCCTAGTTTTGAAAGAATTCCCAAAATGAGCTAACTCGCGGTTCACAATCGCGAGTTCAAGACTTTTCCACCCCCGTCGCGTGAAATCAGTAAAAGTTTAAACTCGTTGTTAGGAAAAGCGAGTTTAATTAAGAACTCGCTGTTAGAAAACGCGAGTTTGATTAAATTTCTTTCCTTTGAACTCGCTATTTACAAGCACGAGTTTATCTGAAATCGCTGTTTGTAAGCACGAGTTTAGCAAAAAAAAAAATTCTGCTGAAATCGCTCTTTGAAAACACGAGTTTATCAGAAAGGTGAACTCGCTGTTTGTAAGCACGAGTTTAGCAAAAAAAAAATTTCTAATGAACTCGCCCTTTGTAACCACGAGTTCATCAAAACGTACGTTTTATGAAAAAAAAATTTCATCTCACTCTTTAGAACCATGGTTTTTTGCCAAATTTTTTTATGAATCGTGCTTTTAGCGTAATTTTTTTTTTAATTTCAATTTTACTGAACTTTAAAGAAAAAATTTTCGTTCTTTTGTTTATGTTGTCATTGTCTTGGTGATAATATATTTCAGAATAATTTTTTGGTTAAAATTCTTTTACTAAAACCGTTCTCATATTAATTTTTTTTTCTTTCCTTTTGTCTTTAACCACGAGTTCATCAAAACCCACGTTTTATGAAAAAAAAATTTCATCTCACTCTTTAGAACCACGGTTTTTTGCCAAATTTTTTTATGAACTGTGCTTTTAGCCGTAATTTTTTTTTAATTTCAATTTTACTGAACTTTAAAGAAAAAAATTTCGTTCTTTTGTTTATGTTGTCATTGTTTTGGTGATAATATGTTTCAGAATAATTTTTTTGGTTAAAATTCTTTTACTAAAACCGTTCTCTTATTAATTTTTTTTTCTTTCCTTTTGTCTTTAACCACGAGTTCATCAAAACCCACGTTTTATGAAAAAAAAATTCCATCTCACTCTTTAGAACCACGGTTTTTGCCAAATTTTTTTATTAACCGTGCTTTTAGCGTAATTTTTTTTTTAATTTCAATTTTACTGAACTTTAAAGAAAAAAATTTCGTTCTTTTGTTTATGTTGTCATTGTCTTGGTGATAATATATTTCAGAATAATTTTTTTGGTTAAAATTCTTTTACTAAAACCGTTCTCATATTAATTTTTTTTTCTTTCCTTTTGTCTTTAACCACGAGTTCATCAAAACCCACGTTTTATGAAAAAAAAATTCCATCTCACTCTTTAGAACCACGGTTTTTTGCCAAATTTTTTTATGAACCGTGCTTTTAGCGTAATTTTTTTTTTAATTTCAATTTTACTGAACTTTAAAGAAAAAATTTTCGTTCTTTTGTTTATGTTGTCATTGTCTTGGTGATAATATATTTCAGAATAATTTTTTTGGTTAAAATTCTTTTACTAAAACCGTTCTCATATTAATTTTTTTTTCTTTCCTTGTTTGGGCTTTAATAAATCTGTTTTCATTTAAATATATATATTTTTTCTTTTGTCTTTATTTTGGGTTAGAAAGTGATAATGTAATTCAAAATTTTTTTTTCACTTTACTAAAGCCATTTTCATGTAATTTTTTTTATTTTTTATTTTTTTCTCTTCTC